GGGCCTCCTGGCCTCCGATATGGGGGGGCCTCTGAGCCTCCCGGCTTCCCATATGGGGGCCTCTGAGCCTCCTGGACTCGAATATGGGGAGCTGGGAGCCTCCAGGTCTCCAATACGGGGGCCTCTGAGACTCCCGGCCTCCAATATGGGGGCTCTGGAGCATCCTGGCCTCTGATACAAGGGTCTCTGAGTCTCCTGGACTCCGATATGGGGTGCTGGGGGCCTGCCAGTCTCTTCTATGAGACCCTCTGAGCCTCCTGGCCTCCGATATGGGGACCTAGAGCCTCTCTTATGGGGGGCTGGGAGCCTCCTAACTTCTGGTATGGGGATCTCAAAGCCTTCCGGCCTCCTATAAGGGGATCTGGGAGTGTCCCAGCCTGTGCTACACGGGTCTCTGAGCCTCCTGGACTCAATTATGGGGGTCTCTGAGCCTCCTGGCCTCTCATATGGGGGCCTCTGTTTGACCCAGCCTCCTCATGAAACAGGGCCTCTGGGGTCACCTGAGGTCACCAGTTAGCCCTCGGGGTTACTAGAGGTCAAAGGGAGACCTAAAGCAGGATCTTGGGGTCACCTGAGGTCACCAGTTAGCCCTCGGGGTTACCAGAGGTCAGAAAGAGCCATGATACAGGGCCTTTGGAGTCATCTGAGGTCACCAATTAGGCCTCAGGGTCACTAGAGGTCAAAACGAGGCATTAAACAGGGCCTCTGGGGTCACCTGAGGTCACCAATCAGCCCTCGGGGTCACTAGAGGTCAAAAGGAACCATGAAACAGGGCCTCTGAGGTCACCTGAGGTCACCAATTAGCCCTCGGGGTCACTAGAGGTCAAAAGGAACCATGAAACAGGGCCTCTGAGGTCACCTGAGGTCACCAATTAGCCCTCGGGGTCACTAGAGGTCAAAAGGAACCATGAAACAGGGCCTCTGAGGTCACCTGAGGTCACCAATTAGCCCTTGGGGTCACTAGATGTCAAAGGGAGACCTAAAGCAGGGTCTTGTGGTCAACTGAGGTCACCAATTAGTCCTCAGGGTTACTAGAGGATCCTCCTCTATGGGGACCTGGAAAGTCTTGACCTCCTCTATGGAGGTCTTTGAGCCTCCTGGACTCTGGGGTCTCCTGGGCTCCGATAAGGTGACCTAGAACCTGTCCTATGGCGGGCTGGGAGCCTCCTAGTCTCTGCTATGGGGGTCTCAAAGCCTCCCGGACTCCTATAATGGAATTTGTGAGTGTCCCAGCCTCTGCTATGGGGGTCTCTGAGCGTCCTGGTCTCAATTATGGGGGTCTCTGATTGTCTCAGCATCCTCTACGGGGAGCTGGGAGCCCTGCGGCCACCTCTATAGAAACCTGGAGCCTCCTGTAAGGGGATCTGAGAGTGTCCCGGCCTCCACTATGGGGGTCTCTGAGCCTCCTGGCCTCTCATATGGGGCCCTCTGATTGTCCCAGCCTCCTCTATGAGGGACTGGGAGCCTCTCGGCCTCCAATATCGGTACCGGGAGCCTCTTGACCTCCTCTACGGAGCCCTCTGAGCCTCCTGGCCTCCACTATGGGGACCTCAGAGCCTCTCCTACGGGGGGTCTCTAACCCTCCCAGCCTCTCATAGGGAGTACTGGCAGCCTCTTGGCCTCTCATACAGGAGCCTCTGAGACACCTGGCCTCCGCTATGGGCGTCTGGGAGCCTCCCATATGGGGACCTAAAGCCCCTCGACCCCCTGTGTGGGAGCCTGTAAGCTTCTCAGTCTCCCATATGGGGGACTGAAAGCCTCCTGGCCTCCTCTAAGGGGGTCTCTGAGCCTCGGAGCCTCCTCAGCTCCTATAAGGGGATCTGGGAGTGTCCTGGCCTCCTCTATGGGGGCCTCTGAGCCTCCTGGACTCTCCTATGGGGTCCTCTGAGCCTCGCAACCTTCACTTTGAGGGTCTGGGAGCTTCTGAGCCTCCTCTACGGGGCCTCTGAACCCCGCAGCCTCCTCTCTAGGAGCCTGGGAGTTTCCTGGTGTCCGATATGGGGCGCCCTGGGGCCTCCTTGCTTCCACTATGGGGAACTGGGAGCCTCCTGGTGTCTCATATTAGAGCCTCTGAGCCTCCTGGACTCCGCTGTGGGGAGCTGGGAGCCTCCCGGCCTCCACTATGGGGGTCTCTGTGCCTCCTGGACTCCGCTATGGGGGACTGGGAGCCTCCTAGCCTCTGCTATGGGGGACTGGGAGCCCCCCAGCCTCCTATAAGGGAATCTGGGAGTGTCCCGGTGTCTGCTATGGCGGTCTCTGAGCCTCCTTGACTCAATTATGGGGGCCTCTGAGCCTCCTGGCCTCTCATATGGGGGCCTCTGATTTTCACAGCCTTCTCTATGGGGGCCTCTAAGCCTCCCAGCCTCTGATAGAGGGGACTGGGAGCCTCCTGGCCTCTCATACAGGAGCCTCTTAGACTCCTGACCTCCGCTATGGGCATCTGGGAGCCTCCCATATGTGGACCTAGAGCCTCTCGACCTCCTCTCTGGGGGCCTCTAAGCTTCTCAGCCTCCTCTATGGGGAGCTGGGAGCTTCCCGGCCTCCACTATAGGGGCCTCTGAGCCTCCTTGACGCCGATAGGGGGAGCTGGGCCCCTCCTGGCCTCCCCTATGGAGGCCTCTGACCCTCTCCTATGTGGGGCTAGAAACCTCCCGGCCTCCTCTGTGGGGGCCTCTAAGCTTCTCAGCCTCCTCTATGGGGAGCTGGGAGCTTCCCGGCCTCCACTATAGGGGCCTCTGAGCCTCCTTGACGCCGATAGGGGGAGCTGGGACCCTCCTGGCCTCTCATACAGGAGCCTATGAGCCTCCTGGCCTCCGATATGGGGGGGCCTCTGAGCCTTCTGGACTCCACTATGGGGAGCTGGGAGCCTCCCGGCCTCCACTATAGGGGCCTCTGAGCCTCCTTGACTCCGATAGGGGGAGCTGGGACCCTCCTGGCCTCCCCTATGGAGGCCTCTGACCCTCTCCTATGTGGGTCTAGAAACTTCCCGGCCTCCTCTGTGGGGGCCTCTGAGCCTTCTGGACTCCACTATGGGGGACTGGGAGCCTCTTAGCCTCTGCTATGGGGGCGCTGAAATTGGAGACCGGGACGCGCACAGGCCCCTCATAGCAGAGGCCGGGAGCCTCCCTGTACAGGATGCCAGGCG